GGCTCAAACCCAGCCCCGGCCAGAAAAAGAAAAAGAAAACTAGAAAAACTGATGCAAGAGGATCTCTTGAGCCCAAGAGTTTGAGGTTGCTGTGAGCTGTGATACCTACCATAGCACTCTATGGAGGGCAATACAGTGAGACTGTCTCAAAAACAAGCAAACAATCAAAAAAAAAAAAGTCTCTTTTACCTGTTTTAGGACTATTGTGTGGTTTTTCTTCATTTTTCTTAGGAGATTTGCATATTTATTTTTCCTAGTTTTCCCTCCTTTATCACTGATTGTAGCTGCACAAATTCAAGGGAATTTTCAATTGTTCCTCTACCCTCCTTGTCTTCCTCCTCCCCTTGGCCACATGCATGCTTTCATGGTGATGGGGATCAGGTTTCAGGATAGGGAACAAGGACCTTGCTAACCTAGAACTCCCAAAAAGGGCAGTGGTGGATCCTGGAACTTATAAGGATCACAGCCAGGCCTACAACTTTCCCCAATATCACTCTCATCTCAATCTCTACCACATCACCATACCTTTCAATAAAATTCTGCCATATTCACTGATGATTTCAGCATCTGTCTTATATTCCATACAAACCAATTCATGTTCATCATACTCAGACATTTCCACATCCAAATTCTGGCCTCACAGATGACTTATTTCATCTCTACTCCATGTCAGCTGCTCAATTCCACAGCCACATTCTGAAACTTCTCATCACTTTTAAAACACTAATCTCCAGTACTTTCTGAAGACAACTTTCTAATGCTTGATTATCTCTTTCCCTCTTTAGTTTTCTTCACTCCTAAGACCCTGACTTCTATTCCTACTTCTAGTCTATTATCATCCAACTCTTCAATCTCTCTCTTGCTGGGTCCCTATAACTCCTGCTTCCATTATCTTTTTGTCTCACTTATCAGGAACAACCCAACCAGAGATTAACCTAATCCCACACTTTTGCACTGATATGACCACAAATTTGTGAAAGGCTGGACCCTCAACTTTGCTGAGCAGCTACCCCAAACATTCTCTACTCTATATAAATTCCACCCTTTCTCAGCTCTCTCTAAGCAGGTATTGCTTCTCTCACTTCACAGAAAAAAAACAAGAACATCAGATAGGAATTGCCTCAGCTTCTTGTTTCCTTACCCACAAATCTAGCAGCCCCTTTACCTGTTCTTAAATTTGGCTTCCTTATGCCATACCTATGCCACCAAAGCTGGACTTTCTATCACACTCTGATCCCATTCCTGTCTGTTTCTCCCTAAGCACACAGTCAGGCTCAGATCTCTCCCTGGTGAAAACAAAAAAAAACTCAGCAAAGCCTCTTAGCCATGTACCCCTGTTAGCTACCAGCCTTTCTCTCTATCCCATCATGGTAAAACTTCTAGAAAGAGCAGTAGAGAGATATTCTGCCTTCACTTTCCTATCCCCATTCACATTCCAATATAATGCAATGTGGATTTTACTCCCTGAGATGACTATTACACGCACCTAGTCACACACTATCTGTAGCTCCCTGAAAACGTTGTTCTTACACATTTATTTTTTAATTTTTTTTAAGCAACAAGATAGTTTATTGACAGAGAGAAAGACTGATAAGCATGATGAGCAGAAGAGGGCTAGCTGAAGAGGAGGAAAAAACCTCCAGCAGTGGAGGGGGGAATCCAAGTGAGAAGCCCCCATTCTTCACGTAGTTACACATGCAGTCTTCCTGTCTAAAATGGAAGCCCCTGCCCTATTCCCCAGTCCCTTCCCTCTCTGATTTGCCTGAAAAAATTCATTCTTACACACTTAAGTTTAAGTCTGTATCCTCTGACAAGCCTCCTAACTGCCCAGGTAGACCTGGATTCTTCCTCTGGTGTTCCTGCTCCCTGTGTTCAATGGCTCCACTTGCCTGGTGCCTGCAGAGCCCTTGGAAGCTGAGCAAGGGGCCATAAACAACAGGAAATGTGGGGGTAGGGTGATGGTAGAGGTTGGGTGTATGTGTGTGTGTTAATTCTGCAGGTGGCCTGGGCAGAGCCTCATGCTACACCTGGAATAGAATTCAGGGGTTTCTATTCAGAACAGTGGGCCAGTTTGGGGGTCTAGGCTGGCGAGGTGGCCCTTCAGGTGCAGTGTGGTATGACTAGTCAGACTAGCAGCGGTATGGGATGCCTGACCTGCTTGCCCTGGCCTAGGGGGTATAAGGGCAAGGTGGGGCAGGCTCCAGCAGACAGGCCCCAGCCCGCCAGCCCTGCCAGAACCCCAGCACAGGAGGCTGCCTCAGGATCAGGTTTCAGCAGGGTGTGTGTGAGTGCGTGAGAAGGAACAGGAGGAGGAGGAGACGGAAGTTTCACTGAGACCTGCCTGTCTTTTTTCCTTAAAGCCTATAGTTTAGGGCCCTAGGGGAGTACATGCTGAGGGGAGATCTGACCCCTATACCTCTCACAGCAGGGCTAGAACTCCAGAGCCATCAGGCTGTCCTGCTCACAGGCCAAAGACTGAGGAGGGCTATGACTAGGCAGAAGGGTCAGTCTGACCAGCCATTAACAGCAACCTTGGACCCTCCTAAGGGATCCTCTAGTTCGTTTAATGCTCAACAATGTGGCTAAGGTGCAGCATAGAAGAGGAATATCCCCAAGCCTGGCTTACTGACTTAAACCATTTTCTATGGTTCAGAACATCCAGCCTGTATCCAGAGACTGGATAAAGGAAAGCGGACTGGGTCTTATTAAGGAGCAGAGAGTAGCTCTAACTAAGGAAGGCGCTTCTTTCTAGTTCCTACCAACCCAACTGAAAAAGGTACCTTCAGATGTGGGTTTATTGGACTAGGGCAGCAGACAGCTTTTTATCTGTGTCTGTTTGGCTGGGTGGCCAGCCTTCTAGCCACTTCTCCCAGCAACTGTAAGGAGTGCAAGCAGCCCAGGAGACAAAGAAAAGCAGACCCAAGTGGGAGTTCTTAGCCAGGGACCAGAGAACATCAGTCTGGCAGACTTAGCCATAGGTCTTGCCCCTCAAAAGTGAGAATGTCATCCAATGGGATAAAAGCCACAGATCTAGCTTCCTAAAACCTCCACTGGGAGGTGGTGGGATGAACACTACAGAGGGAGATGGGATTTCTAGAATCTACTTGCTCTTGCCTTGGATCTAGCTGCTGTAGTCCTACCACGAAGGGGCTTCCATCCAAGCAAGATGAACACTTTCTAAATGCCTTGTCAAACTTCCACCTTGGGGCATTTCCCTTGATGACCACTGATAGATCCCATGGGAGACTCCCGGGGGATCAGCTCCCATAGGAAAGAAGGAGTCAAAAGAGAAAAGCTGCTAAGTCTGCAGGGCAGGTTGCCATAAGTCCTGAGAGAGGCAGCCCAGAGGTAAAGGGACAAACAGCAAGGTGCCAACCAACAAGTACAATTCCAAGCACACACGGAAACTCCTGACTCCATATCCCAGGTGGGCCTGGATGGAGCTGGAAAATGCAGTTCCATCCGACAACTGCTTGCCTACTCAGTGCTAGGTCCTCTGCCAAGTACCAGCTGGGAACATAAAGGCAAATTAGCCCTCATGCTTTCCTCAAGAAGCTAATAGTATAGCCAGGTATAAAAAATCATGGGAAAACTCATCTCTACAACCTATATTATGGAATACAAAGGGGTACAAAGGTCAAAGATCAATTTGGGGGCACAGGAAAGACTTCTTGAAGGAAATAACAAGACTGAGCTGAGCCTTGAAAGACAAATGAATATGTGCCTAGCAGAGAATGTTGGGAAAGGCAGACAGCCAAAGGCACAGGAGAGAAGTGAACCATAAGCAACTGTCTCTTCAAGATGACGGTATATATTGCTGAGGCTGGAGAGACGGAAGAATGCTCACCGCGGGCAGAGGAGCTTCAGGCTGGCACCCCTCCCCCACTGACTCTGCCCTTGATTCCCACCCAGGCAGGTAGGGCAATGTGTGAGGAAGGAGTGGGCAAGTGCATTCTGATGGGGTGTAAATAAAGCAGCTGAGATGCAATGCTGCACAGAAGGGAAAGGCTAGGAAGGGCATGCATCAGCACTACAGGGCTGGCCTGGCGCCTGAGGCCACGTCAGGGCCAATTTCAAGCTGGATCATCACTGGTAACTTTAGGCACCAGTTCATACTCTTTCTTGTTGGCACCCTGCAGTGGATATCTGCATCTTTTCCCCTTTCTTCTGTAATAGCATCCTGTTTTCCATGCCACATGGTCCTGCCTAAACTCACGGACACCAGTGCTGCACACTGACCCCTCAGTAAGTGGCTCAAGATGGGCACCTGACCTAAGTGGGATACATCAAGGCTTTTTCTAGGATGTCATACTTGGACACTGGGAAATGTAGGAGTCTCTCTTTTTCTCTAAAATAGTGAGCTACAAAAAACATGTAAGTCTACAACAGGATCAGGCACACCATAGCTTCTAGGCCAGCAGCCTGTTTCTAGAAATAAAGGTTTTTTGGAACACAGCCATACCTATTCATTTATACGATATGTGGCTGCTTTCATTCAACAATAGCAGAGCTGAGTAATTGTGACAGAGACTCTATGACCCACAAAGCTGGAAATTTCTATCTGGCTCTTTAAGAGAAAAGCGTGCCAACCCTGGGCCTAGAACTGCTGGAGATATCTGTGGCTGTATGGAAAATGGGTATGGTCAAACCCAGAGGCTGGCAGAGCCAAGATTCAGAGAGAAAGACATTGTTTGAGTCCTAAATTCAGGTAGGCCTGAAGATATTTCAGGTCCTAAACTTAAGAGTTAGGGGAACTAATAAATTTCATTTTTGCTTTCTTTTATTTTGTATTATTTCTTATGTTTTTGTTTTTAAAAAATATGGAACGCTTCATGAATTTGCGTGTCATCCTTGTGCCGGGGCCATGCTCATCTTCTCTGTATTATTCCAATTCTAGTGTATGTGCTGCCAAAGCAAGCACCATTTTTGTTTTTTTTTTTTTTTTTGGCAGGGGCTGGGTTTGAACCCGCCACCTCCTGTGTATGGAGCCGGAGCCCTACTCCTTTGAGCCACAGGTGCTGCCCTACTTTTGCTTTAATCAGTATGATATGGGCTTCTACCAACTGCAACTGCTACCCAGAGGATCACGTTTAAGCTTTTTAGTCTGGTTTACAAAGATCCCGTCTGCCTCTCTGGCCTTAGATGGCTCTCCCTTCTCCTCCTTTTCCCTATGCCCTAGCCAGATCCAATTGCCTTCTAGAATCTGCCAGGCTCTTAAAGCCTCTCTGCCTCCACACCACTGTTCCCTTTGCCTGGTATTCCCTTCCTCTTCTCAATCATGTGCTGAATGTCTTCAAGACCCAACTCCAGCATCTCTATGCTTCTGAAGTCTTCCCTGAGTCACACAGAGCTGACCAAGCCCTCCTCCAAGTCACCAATGTTCTTTGTGCACACCAACCTCTTGGCAGTAACCATATGCTAATATCATTGCCTGGCTCCCCATAAAACTATGCCACCCCTAGCACATAGCCAAGCACACAGCAGGTACTCAGTAAATGCCTGTGGGCTGCAAGAGGGAGGAGCAACTTGGGGTGATAGCCTCCACTATGTGGATCTTCCAGGGCCAATCCAATCCAGGCCAAATTCCTGCTCACCTGTGAGGTCTGGGGGCTGCTTTTGTGTAGCTCCTAATGGACATTCTGATCTCCCTGCTCCAAAGTGCCAGGTTTCCAGTGATGTCTCCATTGTTCACAACCACCGCCCCTGCCCCCGTCCAAAATACTGCCAGCTCCTGCCTCTCTGCCTGCTTAGGGACTATGGCCACTTCTGTGTCCAGACAGGCTGGAGCCACATGCATGACATGTATGACAGGCAGGGAGGTCTGTGCTGAAGGAGGAGAGGACAGACTGAGCCAGAGGCCCTAGAGGGGGCAGTGCTTGGGATCCTGCTGACAGGCCCCACTGTCTCTCTTGACAGCCTGTGGAGGAAGAAGGGAGGGGAGCTGGGGAAGTGGGGAAGAGCAAGTATGAGGTAGGCACTCCTCCCTCAGAGGGAGCCTGGATAATGGCCAGATTGTCTGCAGGGCTAAGGCACCATGCCTTTGGTCTCCAGTGGCCACCATCCTTTCTTCTCCCTAATGTGTGCTAAGCCCTAGCTTTTTTTCTTTTTTGAGACAGAATCTTACTCTGTTGCCCTGGGTAGGGGGGCTATGTCATCATAGCTTATAGCAATCTCAAATGTCTGGGCTCAAGCAATCCTCCTGCCTCAGCCTCCAGAGTAGCTGGGACTACAGGCATCTGCCACAATGCCCAGCTAGTTTTTCTGTTTTTGTAGAGACAATGTCTCACTCTTGCTCAGGCTGGTCTCCAAGTCCTGAGCTCAAGAGATCCTCTAGCCTTGGCCTCCCAGAGTGCTAAGATTACAGGCATGAGCCACCAGGCCTGGCCTAACCCTAGCTTATGCTAGTCTTTGGGAATATGACAATAAAGAACCCAGAGTCCCTGCCTTTGGGGATAATGGGTGATTCAGGCAGGCAGAGAGGCAGCTGTGAAACATATGACCATGCCATAATGACAATGGTAGTAACAGCAGCAAACATTTACCAAGCTCTACTGCATTCCCGGCACTGCTCTAAGTGTTCTCTGTGCATTATCTTATTTAATCCTCACCATGACCTCATGGATCAGCACTATTTATAGCCACATTCCTATTTACCACATTGCTTTTGGGAATTCATGAAAGTCACTGCTCCTTAGGGGAATATACCACTGGGGATGGGGAGAGGACAGAGTTGGGAAGGGAAAGCAGTGAGAAAGTGTTCAAGAAAGATCACACAACTGCTAGAGAAACTTGGTCATGAAGAGAGGACATGGGACAGAAGCCAGAGAGTGAAGTGGAAGGGAAGAACTGAGCGTGTTTGTATCCCTACAGGAAGGAGATGGAAGCCCCAGAGGAGGGAAAGGATGGCTCCAGAGTACCTGGGTCCAGAGAGGAGGAACACAGAAGGCAGTTTCCCCCTTTGCCCTGGAAAAAAGGGGTAGGAGGTGACCCGGCTACTCTGATAGGTGCATTTAGAGGTTGGGAGAACCTGAGAGAATGCTTGACAGATAGACTCTTTTCTCTGGGAAATCTCTGGGAATGGGGATTTAGGGGTTATGGGTGTAGACTATAGTTACTTATGAGTGATAAAGTTTGGAAGAATCACTATGGTCAGTGAACCAGGAACAAGGATTGCTGAGCCACTTGCAGAGGCTGGAGACCCTAAAACCGCAGTGGTGCCAAAGCTATGTTTGTGTGTTGCCAAAACAATGATGTCAACTGGCCAAGAAGCAGAAGCAGAGAATGTGGTTGGATGGACCCAACCAACTTTGGGCACTGCTATAGCAGGAGAGTGATGGAACTCAAAGGGGTGGTGAGAATCCAGTGATACCCAGACCACAGAGCAGAAGTGGCTTTGCTGGTGAGGAAAGCAAGGGCTGAGCTAATAACACTGATTAAGCTGAAACCTAGGAGGCCTTCTCTTTCCTCTTTTAGTCTCCCAGGTCCTCACATTCTACAAAAAGAAACATCTATTTTGAGTGGCACCTGTAGCTCAGTGGGTAGGGCACCAGCTATATACACTGAGGCTGGTGGGTTTGAACCTGGCCAGGGCCAGCTAAAACAATGACCCCCGCAACAACAACAACAATAAAAAAAAAAAAAATCCAAGCGTTGTAGCAGACACCTATAGTCCCAGCTACTTGGGAGGCTAAGGCAAGAGAATTGCTTAAGCCCAAGAGTTTGAGATTGCCGAGAGCTGTGATGCCATAGCCCTCTACCCAGGGCAACAACTTGAGACTGTGTCTCAAAAAAAAAAAAAAAAAGAAAGAAAAGAAAAGAAAAGAAAAGAAAAGAAAAGAAAAAAAGAGAAACACCTATTTTACAAACAAATCTCTCTCTTTTGCCAATTGGATGCTGTCCCCTAGAGTCATTCTTGACTCATCTCTTTTTCTTGGCTGCCTCTCATAATTGCTAAACATCTTCTAAGTCCACCCACTTACCTATGTCCACCACTATCATCCAGGTCCAAATCACCACTCCTGGACCTCAACAGTCAGTGAGCAGTTTCCAAGCCAGCTTTTCTCTCAGAGAGGCCAGAGTGATGGCCTAAATTGTCCACCACAGCGTACTGTGCCCCTCCTCTGATGAGAACATTCCCCCTGCCTCTGAATAAAGCCCAACCATGGGTCACGAGGCCTCACCTACCTCTTACCTCATCCCAGGACCTCCACCTTACTCACCCTGCTACAATATTCTGCAGTCCTTGAATACAAGCTTTTTCCTAAGTCTGGACCAGATCCATGCTGCATCTTTCCAAGACTGGCTCTTTATTTTCATTCAGATCTTTGTTCAAACATTACCTCCCCAGAGAAGCCTTCACCGACTCTTCTGTCTAAAGTGGGTTTCCTCCTCCAGTTATTCTCTGTCATCTCATATTATTTTCTCCATAAGCATTTATCGCTATTTGTGCATTTCTCCCATTTTCTCACATGCATGCATTTGTATTACATGGAGAAAGAATGCAAGGCAAGCTCTGTGTGAACAGTGAGCTGCCTACTCTGTTCCCTGGCATGTCCTCCCACACTCAGAATTGTGCCTGGCATAATAGGTGCTGAATAAATATTTGCTAAGTGATATCAGAGATCTGCCTCCCACCAAATCTCAAAGTCACCATACCTGTTCTACTTCCTCTTCCTTCCTTCTTGATAAAACTTAGTAAATGGCCACTCTTCTCTCAAAGATCAATTTTTCTGCAAGGCTAGGGTCTTTCCATCTAATTCAGAGAAAAGACTGAAGCCCTTACAATGGCCTACAAGGCTGTCCATGGTCTCCAACTTGCTCTCTGATCCCATCTCCTGATACTTTCCTGCTCTTGGTCTGCAGCCATACTCTTTGCTGCCTTACGGCTATTACTTCTGCTTGAAATACTCTCCCTCCAGACAGTCGTCTGGCCCATCCCCTCACCTCCCTCCAGTCTCTGCTCAGTCTTACCTTTCCCAGGGGGGTTCTCCTGACCATCCTATTTAATACTGCAACCTGGATCCATCACGTTGCCATATTCTTTTTCCTTTTCTTTCTTTCTTTCTTTCTTTTTTTTTTTTTTTT